CCGCAGCAGCTCTTCTTCACCCTGCTCCTTCACGAACACCTCCTCTAGCTCTTGGTTGAGCCCTTCCAGGCTCCGGTGCAGGCAGGGGCTGAGTCGTAGGATGGGGGACCCTGAGAGGAAGCTGGGAGGAGATGCCTGAGGAGGCAAATGATGCACTCACTGAAACCCACCAAGCCCCGGACAGTTGTCGGTTCTGCTGGGTCGGGGGTGGGGGTGTAACTGTCATGTCTATACAGCAGAACCAAGTGAGTAAAGAAGGATTTGGGGACAGTTACAGATTGCAACTGGTCCGTTCAGTGGGGGTTCCCCCAGAAGTTAGAGCTTTCAAAGGTCTGGGGTATGCTTTTAAAGGCTGCAAGAGCCTCACTGCCTCAACTGTACAGGGAGTGAGGGTGGAGGATAGCAAAATTCAGAGCAGTAGGAAGACCTTCCAATGTCAGTCAGCAAGTCCAAGTTTGCACTGAAACTTCACCTGGGCACCCATGTGGCCACAGGGCATGCAGTGTGGTAGGGCTCAGAAGCTGCTCAACCTGAGGATCTGCCCATGGGAGGGAGGGGCCATGGAAGACGACAGAGGGGAGCAGGTTCAGGGGAAAACACATACCCTCAGTGCTCCCCGCACAGCGTGGTCCCCTTGGAGTGGGGAGCCCCGCTCCTTCTCTTTCCCACTGCGGCTCAGCTTTGTCCTCTGCAGTTGTTGCTTCAACTTGGTAATCTGGCAGCCCAGAGAGGGGGAGAGGGGAAGCAGGTGAAGCACAGCACAAGTGCACTGAGTCCCTCCTCCCAGATGTGGCTCCTGCCAGAGGCCCATGACAATGCACCAAGGGGAGATGGCAGTTACTCTTCCATCTCAAAATGCCTCAGTGGTGTTCAACACGGTGATGATAGGTTCATCGGGCAAGCTGGGTACCTTACTAACTAGATATCGGATGCACTGAATTACCATGTATTCCACAGATGGACCACTTTCCAAAAAAATTACAACTACACAACGCTGAAACCACTTTTGTCTTTCACAGATTCCAAAGGCATGGGATACTACTCTATTAATAGAAATGGGAAATGATGTTTTTGATTTCACTCCCTGAAGTACATTCACAGCTATCTCGAAGGCCCTGGGACCAGGAAGGATGGAAGGATTTCCCCCCATTTTAAAGCCCTGAAACTGCCCTGAGCAAGGAGCAGGCTCTCCAGAAGGAATATCAGATTTTGTCCCAACTTCCATTTCCTGTGACAACTATGGAGTATCGTCAACAATCCTGCATATTATCCCTGTCACATTTGTAATTCTGGACCTCCTTGCCTCAGCTGGAAAATGTCAGGAGATGCAGAGCTATTTAAATATGGGCCTAAATTAAACAGAATTCAGAGAGTAGATCTGCTGCCCACAGGCGTGCAATTTATGACTACTGCCAGGAAGAAAGTGCTTTTAGATTTGCTATTGGGGATCATTCAACCATGACTCCACATTTAGTGTAAATAACTTGCTTACTCTGATAATTACAAACTTTAAATACTTTGTATTTCCCACTAGCCTTAAACACTTCATCTTTTTTCTCTGCTCTTGCAACCAAGAAGGCAGAATCCACCCCCCCAGTAAAGGGGTTGAGGATGACTCCTGGCGACCTGTCAGGTGCTGCTGCCCCACAGCTGGGCGGGCAGAGCTGGTTGGGAGCCCTGGAATATGGCTTTCTCTACTGAACCTCCATGACTAGAACCCTCTCGAGGAAAAAAGGAGAACCAGGAGAAAGTGCTTGGGAACACGTAACTATCCTTTTCTTCTTTTAAAAATATGGGAGGATGAGTAGTTAAAGCAGTAGATGGTGTTGGGGCCTTCCCAGGAAGTCACCCTCTCCCTATCTTTCTCCAGTCTCTGAAACTGCTTATCTGGATCCAACCTCAAAGTAAAGTGAGAAAATGGTGGCTCCCACCCTGTGCTTGGCTGCCGAGGGGCATCAGCAGTCACCGACCAAGCCCTGCTGGCAGGAGGGTCTGGGTCCCTACGGCCTAGCCACCAGGAGGCTGGGAGGCAGCTGTGAAGGAGCCATCTCAGTAGGAAAAGGCCAGGTCAAGGCAATGAGATTGGACGTGTGAGTCCACTTTGGAGCAGATGTGTCCATGGTGCTGGGGTAGACAAGAGGCAGCTACCCCGGCCAGAAGTCTAAGGTGGCAATTACCTCTTTGCGGTGGTCTGTGCTGCCCCAGGACGCTGAGCGTTTGTGTGTACAGGTGCTGGTCCGCTCACCTTCAAGCTCTTGCCAGGACAGGGGGGTCTGCAGGGAGAGGAACCCAGTGAGGCAGAGCAGCTTCTCAGGCAGGCTCAGGGGAAGCAGACATTCCGTTTCGCGAACAGAGGCAGTGGCTCTTTGAAGGCTTCTCTCTCGTCTGCTCATCAACTTCCTCAACACCAGCAGCCACTTTTATTCTTTCGGCCTTCTCCACCTGCACTGCCTCTTTCCCAATCCACTTCCTCCAGTAAACCTTCCCTGATGAGCCAGTAAGACCAACCTGCTCTCTACTCTCTTATGGCTTTGACACATGCATGATGGCCCCAGCGCATCCAGGTGCTCCCCAACGGTGAGGACAAGTACTGCCCTCCCTATCCCCACCAGCTCCAAAAGAGCACGGGCTCAGGGACCCACTGACATCCTCGATTCTCGCACCCTCTATGTGCCCAGCACAGGCCCAGGATCCTGGGAGCCTAATGAAAAGGAGTTACTAGACAGGACCCCGGTGAGGAATCATTAATTAGTAAAACAGGAGAAACGTCAACGGAGATCCCCCGCGCTCCATCCTTGACGGATGCAGGAGACATCTGTGCAGCACAGTGCTCAGGCTTGTTTCGTGATTCTCCCTGGTACACAGAGTAAGTGTTGGGGACCTGAAGTCCTCCTCAATATGCAGGGGAAGGGACATTTGCAGAAAGGAGAGAGCCAAGAATTCTGAACTCAGCCCTGACTCCTGACCCCTGCTGGCTTTATCACAGCCCCTTCTCCTGGGTTCTGCTCTGTGCCTCGTGAGAACAGGGCTCTCAGTCTGCCAGCCTCCCCCCCCTGCTGCACAGAAGACAGAGTTGGTCCAAGTTGGAGGCAGGGAGAGTTGTAACCCCACTTCCGGAGCCCCCACCCGAGAGAGGAAGCTGTTGGCTCCAAGCACAAGGCAGGAGGACAAGATCCCTCCCCACTACCAACATCCCTACTTCCATTCCAAGGGAGGGGCCCAAGGGGGAACGCTCCAGTGGAACCAGTTCCTCTCTAACTTCTTTACACAAGCTGCCAAAACCATGAGGGCCTGGGAACTGTCTCCTCCAACCGATCTGCTGACCTCCCCCGAGAGGTTGCTGCAAACAGAAAAGAGGAGGAAAAGAGAAAAAACCAACAACTCAACACCCAGCAGCTGCTAAGAAGAGCTCGGCCGGGGTAGTCTGCGCGGGACTGTGGGAGCAGGCCGCCCTGTGTGACAGGTGCAGGGGAGAGGGGCCGCGGGGGAGCTGCGGCTCCCTGGCTCTTCCTTCTCCCAGCTGCCCACCCACCAGGACCTCGGCTGGGCCGTGTGACACAGCCAGGACGAGACAACTGCCCCACTTCCCTTCCCTGCTAGCACCACAAGGAGACTGTCAGAGACCCACTGCCCCACAGTGCCATGAGGAAAAGGGCAGGCAGCACATCCTGCAAGCCCCATACCCCAAAGCCCTTGAGGTGACGCCGGCTCTGAGCGTCTCTGGAAACCAAGCAGCTGTGTACTCCCAAATGCCCACATTTCTCTAAACCAGGGTTGGCAGACAGAGCCTCAGAAACACTGCTGCATAGACTGAAAAGTGAGGAGGCGGTCCACCTCTCTCAGAGCGCCCCCTCAGCCCAGCGGAGAGACGAACGCTACTCCCTCCCAGGGCTCCCCACCCCAGCTCTGCTAATCAAAGAACGGAGTCCCACGCTAGCCTGTTGTCCCGGGAAGGGTGGCAGAGGCTACAGAGGAGAGATGACAAAAGCTAAGGTGATGGGCCCATTTCTCCTCATCTAGGAAGATACCGTACTCACAGGTGGGTGGTAAGAGATAGGAATAAACAGCCACATGCAGGCTGCCACCGGTTCTACTAACATCTCTGGCAAACACCTCAACGAACTGCCTTCTTTCTTCTGAGATATGTGAGGGGGTGGAAGGAGAAATGTAGGCTAGCGCTGGAGTTTAGAAAGGATGTGAGACTTCATGGCAGCTAGAATCTTCTTCTCTCTCTATCCATGTTGCCCCACTGCTCTCTGCTCTGCAACACCTTCCAGCACCTACTGCCTGTCCTGTGTAAACTGCGCTACCAAGGCCATCGCTTAGCTGCCACACCCGCACCCTGGCCTTAGATATCGCCATCTTCCCCTCCACCCCAGGGGCTCTCCTCTCCATACCGGCTCTCTGTCCTACTCATCTCCTTGTTCTTACCTTGCCCCTCAGCCCTAACCCTGGTCTCCCCATCGAAGTACCGACGCTCCCCAGCCTTCCCATCAGGGAGCCCTTCCTAACCTGTCCACCCCATGTTGACTGTTACTTTGCTCTGTGTCCTCTGTTCAGACGGGTTCAGGGTATACACCATTCATGCATTCAACAAAGAGTAACTGAATGCAAACTGTATCAGGTACTGTTCCAGGTGCTGGGGACATAGCAACGCATGAAAGAACAAAAAAATCTCATCCCCTTTTGAGTTTACGTTCTAGTTGGGGATACCGTTTTAAACAATGATAAATATTCAAGAGAAAAATACAGCAAAGAAAGGGGTTGGGAGTGTGTGTGTGTGTGTGTGTGTGTGTGTGTGTGTGTGTACACGTGCACGCACACGCACAGGCAGGGGAGCAGGTTTAAATGATTTTAAATGTCTGGGGAGTCCTCAATGGAAAGGTAACAACTGAAGACAACCATGAAGGACATGGGGGAGTAAGCCACATGGACATCTGGGGTAAGAGTGATCGAGACAGAGGGAATAGCAAGTGCCAAGGCCCTGACGCAGGAGTGAGCCTGGAGTGTCTGAGAATGAGGAGGCGGCTGGTGCCGCTGGAGCAGGGTGAGTGAGGGGCAGCTTAGTAGGAGATGAAGTTAATAGGTACGCAGGTTGAAAAATGGCCGCCCCCAAACTGTCAGGTCCTAATCCCTGAAGCCTGTAAATGTTACCTTATGTGGTAAATAGTTTTTGTAGATATGATTAAGTTAAGGTGGAAAGATTATCTTGGGTTACCCAGGTGGGCCTTAAATGCCATTACAAGTGTTCTTATGAGAGAGAGACAGCAGATTAGATACACACAGAAGAAAAGGCAACGTGACCATGGAGGCAGAGATCAGAGGGATGTGGCCACAAGCCAAAGAATGCTGGCAACCACCAGGAGCTGGAAGATGCGAGGATGGAACCCCCACAGATACTCTGGAGGAAGGGTGGCCCTGCCAACACCATGATCTGGGCCCAGTGAAAGGGAGTTTGGACTCCTGGCCTCCAGAACTGTGAGAGAATACATTTTTGTTATGTGAAGTCACTAAGTTTGAGGTAATTTGTTACAGCAGCTTTGGAAACCTAATACGGTCATCCTGTGTTTGAAGCTGTTTACATGCTGGCCTTGAGTATTCTTAAGGCGGGCACGTGCACAAGGGTAGGCTGTGGCCCCTCCGACTGAACTGGGGGTACCAAGAGTGGGGACCGTGCCCTGCCCCTTATTTTCAGGCACCTCCACCTCTGGGTCTCACCACAGAGGTCTCGGAGCACAGAAAAGTCACAGCTAAGGAAGGCTACCCTTCAAAGAGCAGACCTTTATGGCACAACAGGGGCCCAGCTACGCTTACGCTGCACGACAGCCTTGTGAGTCGTCGTTCAAGATGATCCTCTGGAAGCAGGGTAGAGCTTGAGCTCAGCAGGCCAAAGTCATGTTTGTCAGAGACTCACGCACTGGAACAGATTCGTCTGAACACCCAGGAGGAGCAGCTGAGGGAGAAGCAGGGCTATTTACTAGCCATCGGAGGCATCGGCCAAGCGTGCAGATGATGCTCGGATTATGCAAAACTGAATGTGGGTTAGACCAAGGAGGGCTTGCCTGGGATTCTGAGATCTCAGAGCAACATGTGGAAGGATAACGGGGCATTGGGGTGGAGGAGAGCTTTCTGAAGAGCAGCCCGACAGAACAAGAAGGCAGGGGACAGATGAGCCACAAACCCTTCCAACTACAACCTGTATCTCTGCCCCCAACCCAGCTAAGTGTCTGCCTGGACTCCGAGGCAGGAAGGGTCCTGGTCGTGTTATCTCCGGTGATGCTGGCAGAGCCCAGCTGGGCCCTGGGAACATAGTCTAGCATACCTGTGCGGAGGCACCGGGCAAGGTGGTGCCTGGCCTGGTACAGAGGGTAACTACATGTTGAAATGAAATCCAGCAGGGAATCAGCCCCCTGGCATGCTGGCCAGACAGAGACAGGAAAGGCTCTGAGGGGGGTCTGCCGGCCAGCGCTGAGCACTCAGGCTGCAGGTGGTCAAGGCCACCATCTCTGGCCCTACAGTGACGATGTCACCCTCACATTTTCCATCATCAACCCGTTTTCAAACATTCTGTGCTGTTGTCACACCATATGCTGAACAACTGGTCCTATTCACCGGTTTGGAAAATAGGCGCTGTGCCCAGGCCCCCACACCCACAAAGGAAGGCCCGTAACGGGCAGGCTGAGCCGTGTGTCATCACTAAACTCGGAGGCACTGGCTTGGGAAAAGGAGGAAGACGTTACACAGGTAGGGAAAGCCGCAGAGAGGGAGGGAAGTCCTCCCAAACAAAGCATGCCGCCTCTGCCCCTGGCCTTCAGGGCACTCCCTGAGGTTTGTCAAGGACTTAAGCCACTTGTTTTTTTCCAAAGGATAAGTCAGGCCTAAAGAAAAACGTCTGTCATAGAGACTTCCCCACCTCACCTGCAGCATGCAGAGGAAGTGGGGCTGGGGATGAGTAGAAGAGGGGGTGGGGGAGGCTGGCAGAGCAGGTACCCAGAGGCCCATCTGTCTGCAGGATGAGAACACCAGTGGGGGAACTTTGCTCAAACATTCATTCCAGCTGTGGTGAGACCACTTCCTCCCTCCAGAAGAGTGCAAGAAGACTCAGATGCTTTGCACAGCAAGAAGGGCGAGGGGTGACCGCAACCAGCATGTGCTGCCATCACCGCCCTGGCACCGGCCCAGCTGCTAGGAGGGGCCAGCGCAAAGCACTTGACAGCCAGCTCCGGTTTACCAGCTGACCTGGGGGAAGGGTGGCCCAGACAGGGGAAAACATTCAGATCAATCTGCAGAATCCTGACAAAGACACAAAGGAGCCTCCTCCAGGTGATGGTCACTCCACACAGAGGCACTCCTCATCCTTCCTGGCTGGCCACTCTGCATCCGGCTCGTGCTGCACCCAGGCTCTTCCTTGTACTCACCACGCGGCCTCTGGGAGACCTGAGCATCCCTCTCCCATTGCTTGTTCTGGCTCAAAACATGCAGCAGTTCCAAAGCCCTCCTTCCCCAGTCACCACATTCATACCCCCTCCTGCCTCCTAGAATAACCGACTTCCCAAATAAGATCCATCCACCTCTCTTCCTCCCCTGTCCCAACTATGTGGGTAACCCAGCTCTCCACGTCACACTGTAAATTGCCTGGGGACTACCTGTGCTGCCCTCTGTGCCTACCCAAGAGCTTCAAACTCAGCTCAGCCCAGGGAGGGAATACTGGGAGTGTTGGCAACCTGCTATATATTCGAGAATGGAGAGCTTTTCAGTCCATCCTCTGCTTTGTGAGGGAGCCTCGAGGACACAGCACACCTAGCTATCTAAACGGCAGGAGTTCTATGCTTGCCGCCCAGATCTGAAACTTGCTTGGAACGGGCAGGACCCTTGCTTGCTCTAGAGGGTTCAGAGAGGGGAGCTGCTCAGCCTAAGCCTTAACAACGGCTGCTGCCCTCACTGCAATGCAGGCCCCTGGGAATTTCAGGGTTGATGTGGTATCCAAACACACACGCTGCCTGCTGGCTCTGGAGTGGGGTGGGTGAGGGACACAGAGGGAAAAAGTAAGGGTGCAGAAGTGAGGGCGTGCCAGATATGGTGGATGTACTACACTGGTATAGCTGAAAGAGAAAGGGTAGAAGGTGGGGTACGAGTGGGAACAGCCCCCCTTGAGCTCAAAGGAATTAGGGTAAGGTTCTGGCATCATTCTGTTTTTAACAACTTAAAAGCTTTCAGGGACTTTGGTAGATCCCGCCTCCCTACCTTCCCTCTACCCTTGCCCACACTTCCTTTGATCTCCCTAATAAAACCTCTCCCTTGTCTCCAGTCCCTTCTGGGTGGTATACCAGCACTCAGAAGAGAAGGAACACCAATGGCTTAGGGGGATGCCAGGAGAGCCGCAGGTCATCATGGTGTAATACCAGTGTGGAAGGAGGTAGTTTGTGCCAGGCCAGGGGGCTCAAGCAGGAATTTGAATGGAGCTCAAAACCTAGAAGCAGAAAATTCCCAGCAGGCCAGGAATGAAAGATGGGCAGAGTACATATTTTGGTTTGGATGCCTAGTTGATCAGAATTCTCCCACCTCCTGACTGCAGCCACAATATTGACAGGTTGCTAAGAGTTCCTCGAGGGCTGGAGCCCATCCCAGGAAAAGAGGAAAGCTGCACAGTTCGGCCTTGCCAGACCCACAGAGGCGCATCGCTGACCTCTGTCTTGTCGTGGCAAGAAGCCCAGACTTGTTATATAAAAGATCTGGCCTACAGCTGGAGCCTGAGCTGCAATACACACAGCCTAGAGCCCATGCCTCTAAATCCGGCCAGGGAATGTCTGAGGCCAAGCCTGCCTCGGGTTGACAAAGAGAACACTACCTGAGGAGTGGGAGCGAGGCTTCCTAGAAGGCTGGCAGCAGGAAATGACAGAGAAAGGCTTCAAGGAAGCCTGCTGCTGTCTGACAGAGAGGGATGCAATCATGAGCTTACACGCTCAAAACAATCTCAAAGCCCGCCTCCTCCAGGAAGCCCTCTTTGACTACATTATTTGGGCCAAATGCTCCTCTCAAAAGAGAAAGGAATGTGTGCTACAGGCCTACGAGGGGGAAACTTAACCTATCCTACCTACCCTTTTCAAAGAGTATGGGGAACAACCCTTACTGTAGTGCCCAGGGCTCCCAGGAAGTAGGCCTACTCTGCTTCCTGGAGTGAGTTTTCCCTTCACATTCTGTTCATAGATCTAAAGAGGGCCATTGACTTTAACTGCCACACATTCTTGCTGGTTCAAGGTGGGGTATTCCCATGAGAATTCCCCTCTGAACTGTGCCAGACATTTGGCCCCATCTCAGCCCTTGGCTGTCTGTTCACTGGCCTTCATGGAACTGGCATCCAGACTCCCAGGCCAAATCTTGCTCTCATTTCCTTACTCTTCACTTCAACATGCCAAGAACAGTACTGGGCATTCAGACTTTCACTAATAACATTTGAAAATGGATCTCGTTTGAAAAATAAATAAAAGACCGAGGTGATGTGCTCAGAAGAGGAAGTAGGGGGAAGTGAGTGCACAAAACTTCCGCATTTGGCCATCACCCCACCTATGAGCAGGCAGGGTGGACACATGCCCCCAGCTCGCAAAGGAAGAGCTGACTTGCCCAGTATCCCCCATTCTGCCTCTGAGCCCATGTTCTTCCCATTCCGCTTCCTCCTTTTCCTGAGAACAACTCATTTGTTCTGAAGTTGAACAAGAATGGGTTTTAATTGCATCAAAAGGGAAATTTGACTCTTAACATCACTGCTAAAAATGTTGAAGTCCTGAATCAGATTTAAAAATATCTTTGTATACAATTTCACATATGAGATGACTTCTTGTTCAGGCTACCACTGTCTTATTCAAAAACTGACAAATGGACTGGATGATCTATGGCGATTCCTTCCAAGTTTATGATTCTTAGTGACAGTTGTGAAGAGGAGGGAACCCGGGCTCCACAGGACTCCAGTGGGTCCACTGAAATCCCGGGCTGGGCTGCTGGCTACGATCAATCTCCCCTCTCTGAGAGCTTTCCATTACTATTGCTCCAGCGAGATTTCTCCTGGCTCGACGCACTTTTTGGCCACCTCTTCCAGTTGTCTGGGGAACGCAAACTCAATTGAATGTTGGCCCCAGTTTAATTTTAGCAAGGTAAATCTCATTTAAAAAAAAAACCTAGAATAAGTTCCAAAATCAACTCTTGCTTAGCCACACATGAATACTCAGGCCAAACTGAAAAACCCAGATTGACTGCTCTCTTCCACCAGTCAGGTGGAATGCAAACACATTTTCATGTAAGTTTACAAAGAAAACCAAGCTGGTAAACATTAGATGATGAGAAGCTACACGGTGGCTCTGTCCGCCCAAAACCCAGGACAAATCATTTCAGGGACTGAGAGTTGGTAAGTCGACCAAAGGCCTCCTCAGCCAGCCCCCTCCCCCCGTCCTTATCCCATTAGGAGAGAGCTTCATTACCTGGGTGGCCTTGTCATTGGTACAGCAGGTGAAGGCCCCATCAGCATCTCGTGGCCACTGGCCCAGAAGGTAGGAGCTGAGGATGGTGTCCAGGGAGAATGTACGTCGGACCTGGGGTGGCTGAGGCCTACACACTGGCTTTTCTGGGGCCACGGAACATGGGACGCTGGCTGGAAGAGAGCACAGCCCGCCCCTTGACATCAGCACGGAGGAAGGAGACATGGTAACCAACCTTCTCTCCTCTAGGAAGCCTCACCTGACTGCCACCTTTTCACGTGGCTCCACCCCCTAAGGAACTTGAAGCTGCCCATTAAAGCAGTCTGCAGAGAGCTCTCCTGACTTAGGGAGATGCCAGGAGAAGCAGCGTTGAAAAGTCACAATGGGTGCTTGTGGTTGGAAGATGAACCGGTTTCATTTCTGGAAAGCACCCCTCAGATTAACCAGCTGGTCATTATAATTGGAAACAAATTATACCATTTTACTTTGGACTGGGGTGGCTTTATATACGTGTCCTCTATCTTTATCCTGTTCTTAATGGACTCTATATACTGTGAACTCTGAGGTCTCCATGCTGAGTTTCCTGAGAGCAGGACTGTTTCACACCACAAAAGAGGGGACCTCTAAGAGGACAAAAACCAAGTTTTCTTCCATCTTTTATCTCCGGCCCTTCGTCCTCCCTCTAGCACTCACTGTAGGGCTCCTGTGCACAAATGCAAACCGACTTACTGAAGGACTCTTCACACTTCCTTCAAGATTGGTTAGCCCCAGGGAACGTGGGTGCCTGAGACAAAGAGGGCAATATAACTACTTTCAACTACCAGGTACTGAGCAATCAGCTTGAATCAGTTTGGAGAAATATCCAAGTCTTTTGGTTCTCTCCTCTGTCTCTTACTTCTGGCTCAATGGGACAAAAAGAAAGCAATTATAAATTGCTTTATTTATATTTTCACCTTGGCTACAGCTTTTTGGGAGAAAGTGAAAGTTGAAACTGTTGATAAATATAGGGGTTCTCAAATTATCTGTCAGTTTCCACCATCTGAATGGACCACATTTTTCATGGCCACATTCTTAACACTCCACTGTCTTAAGATCTGTAAGGATCTTTCCTTTAAACAGAGCAAAATGCTTTCACATCTGTACTAATCCCTTGATAATACATGTGTGCATTAAGCACAGCAAAAGGAACTAGGGATTGTAGGTATAAAGAATCTTGAAGACACTACAGGTTGGCAGTTCCTCAAAAAGTTAAATATAGAATTATCCTACAACCCAGCAATTCCACTTCAAGGTATATATACAAAGAATTGAAACCAGGGTCTCAAAGAGGTATTTGTATACCATATTCATAGCAGCTTTCTCCAAAACAACCAAAAGATGGAAGCAACCCAAGTGTTCATTGACAGATGAAAGGATAAGCAAAATGTCTATATATATGCAATGGACTATTAGTTTCAAAAACAAATGGAATTCTGATACATGCTACAACATGGATGAAAGTTCCATCACAGAAAGTAGAACAGAGGTTACCAGGGGCTTAGGGGGGAGAATGAATGGGGGTGATTGTTTTATGGGCACTGAGTTTCTGCCTGGAACAATGAAAATGTTCTGGAAATGAATAGTGACGATGGCTGCACAACACTGTGAGTTTACTTAATGCCACTGAATTATAAAGAGAAGAGTGGTTAAATGGTAAATTTTATGTTATGTGTGTCTTACCACAATAAAAAAGAGACACTAACAGTACTATCTATGTTCTCCAAACCCATTTAGGTACTGACATAACATTTTGCCATAGTTGTCATCAATATGAAAGGTACTACCTTGTGTTCTGCTCCGTTCTATCCATTTCACATACCCATTTCCAAGTATCAACACTACATATGTGTCATTCTTCACGACTACATGATATTCCACCAGGTTGATACACAGTTGTTTGCTTAGCCATTCCCACACTATTGGACATTTGGGGGTTCCTCCCTTCCCATTGTGTTGATATCATAAACATGATTGCATGGACAACTTTCAATCTGTTTTTATCTAATTCCTGGCATATTTCAAAGTCATCTCTCTCAGCTATCATATAATATGTGTTCACTTAAAACAAATTAAAAATGACTTGTCATTACAAAAGTAGTAAGTGTGAACTGTGGAAAAGTCAAGAATTACAAAAATATAAACAAAAAGAAAAACAAAACCCTTAAATCTCAACACCCAGAGATAATCATTAATAGTCCTCTGAGGTACATGTCAATATAGCCTTGCCTTTTGCTTGTATGTGCTTTAAAATCAAAACTGGGATCATACTGTACAAATCGTTTTGCAATGTTTTCATCCTATATACATAAACACCTGTCCAAATCAATACATTGACCTACAACACATCCTTTTAAATGATCTTAGCATTTCTGTTAAAACTCTTCAAAGAAGGTACTCAAATGCCTCATGTTATGGTCCCACTTACCTTTCCTTCACACCTCACTACTCTTCCAAGTGTCTATGTCTTGGGCAAACTATACTATGCGCCATTTCCCACCCATGTCCTGGGCCTTCCCTCCCCTGAGGTATTGCACATGTGCCCAGGGTTGAAATCTGATCCATCCATCAGGGCCAGCCTAATTGCCTCCACCTCCACCTCTACAGAGCCTCCTGGGTTCCCTGAAAGAAATGCCTCAGGATTTCCCGATTTACCCCACCACTTTGTACACCCTTCTAGTTATCACCCTCCCTCTTGGATTATGAGTATTTATAATACCTAGATAATAAACAACCTGCAGCCGAGGACTCTCTCTAATTTATCTTTGTACCCCTCGCAGAACCTAGAACATAGAGCTGGTGATTGGCAGGTGCTCAAGCATTTGCATAAAATAAAAAAACTGTTACTACAAGGGTAAACCTGCCCTAATTATACCATGGATGCTAAGTTTGCCTGCCTTGCACATCCATGCTCAATCCACTCCCTGGGGAGTTGCTTGTCACTTTTCCTGTCTCTGAGGCTCAGGAAGGTCCAACCTCGTCTCCCCCACCCAGTGCTTTGTTGCCCAGTGAGTTAGTGACAGGCACCCTGAGCTCAAGCACCAAATTTATCTCCTCCACTAGCATTTCAACCACTCACCTTCCCATTCTGCATCTAAGATCAAAAGGCGACAATCAGATATTTCTGGGAGCTTCTGACCCATGTCGGCAGCCGGGTGAGACACCAAAATGCTGTCCCCTGTGTCCCTCCTCCGGAAAAGTATGTTTACAAGATTACATGACAGAGAAACAAAGAGGCAGGTGGGAAGCACATGAGCCAGAGACTGGCATAAAGGCCACACTGCCATGATCCTCACGGCGGAGGAAGAGGCCTGGGGCTCCAGGGCTGAGAAAGAAGCGACGTGGAGAAAGATTTCTTGGCGCTCACCCCCCGCCCCCAGCACCCCAGCCCCTCAGAATTTGCTGCAAAAATCTCCTTTAGATTTTTTTTCTCACTGAGACCCTAAGTGCTCTACTGTGCTTATATATGATAGTCAAGTTCTGCTCCATCCCCACCGAGTTTTTTTATGTGTGTAATTTTTACTCTTCCCATCAGCTCTCAAAGAGGCAAGGGGAAGACTGGTAAGGAAACCAAAGCACAGAGAAGCAGTCTCAGACCCGGCTCAGTTGCCCAGCAGGTCAGCGGCAGTCCTAGATCTAAATCCAAGCCTCCTCCCTCTACGTCAGTTCACTGGGGCTCTTGCATCAGGGATACCCTCTGTGGCTACCAGGATACCTGCCTGGACACCCGGAGGAAGGATTGCCTTTTTAGCTCCTTTTCAGGGACAGGGAGTGAGCCAGGAGATGGTAGGCCTGACCTGGGGGTCTGCAATGACCATTTTTGTTTTTCGGGTTTGTTTGTTATTTTGAAGAAGTCTTTGGAACCTGGAGTAAAGCATTCTACTATCTCCTAGGGACAATTTAAACCATACCCATTTTACATCAGTTCCCATGGGACTTTCATATTCCATCCACTCATAAGCTACAGCAGGAGTCTCATCTCAAGGGTAGCAATCAGTTGTGGTACTTTACTCCCAGTACTCACGTGGTTAGGGAGGACCCAGAATCCCGGAATTTGGTGTGAAAATCCAACTACCCATTTTGGTCAACTCTACGTGCTTTCTGGCCACCTCTGACCAAAGTTATTCACAAAGACTCTGAGGACTTCATGGGTCCTGACTTACTCTTCCATATACCAAAAAACAAAAACAAAGCCCCGTAAATACACATAAAAACAAAGCCCCATAAAAAAAATAAATAAAAAACAAAGGAGGGAGGGAAGGAAGGGAGTAAGAGAGGGGAATGGGGATGGGGGAAAACCAAGCGCCCTAATCCAGAACCTCCTCTCTGCTGGATCTGCAAGGATCTCACCACATGTAAAACTGGAGGGCTTGCCTCAGTTTCTTTTCCTTAAACGGGACAGCTGGCCCTCTGCCCCATTTCTACAATGACCACATCCTAGCACAGGGTGCTGGCACAGCTCCCAGCCAACCACAAGATGACAGAGTTACCTTCAGTCTCAGTGCCCTCAGCAAGGCCCTCTCCCCTCCCGAACCCCCAAATTCTTGGCAGGTCCCAGCCCCTTGGAGACTAAAATGCCATCTTTCCTTCATGCCCAGAAAAAAAAAAAATCTACCGCTAATTTCAAAACCTCACCCCAAATGGTTTGGGGAGCACCTGCTAATTTGGGCACCAAAACTGATTAAGAGATAATTAGGGCACTAAAACTGATTAAGGTGTCACGTTCCCCCCAAACGCAACACAAACCAAAGCCCAAAATCAGACACTGACATGTTTTGTGCCATCATCGAAGGGGCTACAGGCTGGAGCAGCGTGCCCCACCAAATATCTGAGGGCTCAGACGGGAGGGATCTAGTTCTGACTACAGCTCTGCCCTCACTGTGGTGTGAGAGCAGCCAACACCACACAACCTCCCTGGGCCTGCTCTCCCATCTGGCAAGCAGGAGCACAATCCCAGCCTAAGTTACCTCTTGGGGACACTGTAAAGAACAGAAGATGAGATGCAAATACACTTTAAAGTCTCCATTAGCTGGATTATATCAAACCAATGGTCACTTAGTCCCTCCCCCCACCACAGTCCTTTAGGATTGAAGATGGGGTTGAGGGAGCCTAGAAAGAGGAGACTACCCAGAAAAGACAGTCAGAGTTCTAATTTCTCACCACTATCCCCTGGGACGGTGCACATCTGCAGTGTCAAAAAGCCCTTTCCTTTACTCTGGACCCAGCGTGGACGCCACCTTGAATAAATGGTGCAGGGGGCAATAAAGCAGCTTGTAGATGTGGGCCTCAGCCTCTGCGGGGCAGCACTCAAGTTGTTCTGCCCGCCGAGACCTACCTCAGTTGGCGAAGTCCCCTAAGAAACCTCACAGGGGAGTGTGGTTGAAACAGGGGCTCACTGGCTTATCCCTCGTGGATGTACCAGAAAGATCTGGGTAGCAGGATCTGCTCTGCAACTGTGTGATCCTGGTTAGAGGAGGAGACGTGCTGAAAAGTCACAACGGCGGATTGTGGTTGGAAGGTGAACTGGTTTCATTTCTGGAAAGTACCCCTCTCAGATTTGGGCAAGAGGGAGAGGGAAATAAAAGACAATCAGCTACCCTATCTGAGAAGAGACGCCCATATCATGACAGGCCATGACAAAGCAGCAGGCTGTCGGGGCACTGGCTGGGTGGCTGTAGGAGGGTGGAGTGTCCTGTTTACAGCGCTGTGGGGTATTATCGGCCCATCGCATGCAGCAGCCTCCACGGCCCAACCACCTGGTGAAGCACCCTGGCACGGGGCCAGGCCATTTCACCATGCAGCTGAGCAGTGGCGGATGCTTTGGTTCTTGGGCAACGGCAAATGGAAAAAACAAAACAGCACACACCGGAGATAAGAAGCCTTAGGTGATATCTTCCAGAGCCACTTGGCCCTGTCTCCCAACTGCTGCATTTGTATGGCGTTAGAGAGAGGGCTCTGAATAGAGAGGGCCAGCGGTCAAGGGTCAGTGCCGTGGGGCATAGTCAAGAGGGCGGAGAGCACACAAACAGCAGATGAGACACTGAACCAAGAGAGTGGTCAAGAGCCACCCAGCACACCCCAGTGGACCGACTGATTCCCTCAGTAAGCAGATTCTGAGTGCCCACAGCCAGCTTGACGATAAGCACCCATGATACATGGAGCAGGAGTAGGACAAGAAGCTGCTGACAAGGTGGATATAATCCCTAAGCAACACCTCTGCAGAAGGACCACCGAGCCTTCTCTACTGTTACCTCGTATCTCTGGCTGGAAATCAGCTGAGGCCTGACAGCACAAGTAAACCCCCACCCTGGGGGCCGAAGGTGAAGGATGACAGCTCTTAGAAGGGCAAGAAGGGGTCAGGGGAAGGAGGAAGGCAACCGATGAGGCAGGCAGTGAGGTGTGTATGGCTGCCCTTCTCAACGTGGCCAGAGATAATGTGGGGTAGAGGCTCCGCCGCTCACGAGGAGGTCCACAGGGTCCTGGCTGGGCTTCAGGGAAGTTCTGGCCACTTCACTTACTTAACTCTTATGCAGGAGAGAAAAGCCCGAGAAATCAGGCTATGTTCCACCCATCCTCCATTAGCATGAGGCCTGGTGCTCCCAAAATACCCAAGGACAACAGAAGGAAGAAGACAGACACAGCCAATGAGACCTCACACATGGCAAAAACTCAACAGCTAGCTGGTCCAACAAACGAGTTGTGAGTCACTTTCTCATGTTGTTGGGCTTTGAAGCATTATTAGCACTAGTCTTCTCGCCTACCCAAAGAGAAAATAACTTAGTATTATAATAGAAATCGTACATATGTTGGAGGAAATAAAATGCAGATGAGCGAAAACTGAAAAATAAAAACTATGCATGCCCCTACTCGGGGATCACTACTGTGCGAACGCTTAATGGTCCCTCTCCAGGCACACAGCTATATATATTTTTAATAAAATGAGATCATATTATACCCGTTTTTCTACAACCTGCCTTTTTCAGTCACTGATCTTATCTTAAGATGGAGCAGCAGGCGGGGACCGGGGTGCCCGGGAGGCTGACGCAGGGCACGTGGTTGGACATCGAGGCCCTGCCCTGCCCTGTCTCCTAGCTGTGATGCAGCAGTTTCGTTGGGGGGAGAGTTGTTTATCTGGAGAGCAGCAAAGTAAAACAGGGATTCAGAATTTCTAAACGTTTCCCCAATAACAGATTTGCAGTAAGCAGGGGAAGTTCCTCCGAGCAGCTTCACAGGGATTATTTTTCCACTTCAGTACATGTGTGCTCAGATTAAACAGTGAAGGCAGTCTTCTGAGCTCCCTGCGGTCCAGTGCCGCTTAACTGCTTAACTCAGGGACGTGTGGGTTTTGGAGGGAAGTTGTGGTCAAACCGAAATCCCCAATATGACTGTATGAGAATAAGAAACCCTCCTTGGAAAGCCCAAGGAGACCCCATGTATCCCAGCTGGGAAAATTAAACTTGGGGCTTTGAACAGCTTCAACACCAAGCAACAGCTTCATTTCAACCATAACAGGGGGTAGAAACTAGATTAAAAGGGAGGAAAAAATAAACAGCAACATCACGTTCTAAGCCTTACCAAGGTTTACCTGAAAGAGTAAAGAGTAATATTTATATATGCATGAAAAACTTCTTAACCAGGCCCTCAATTAATTACTGACTCCATACTTAAGTGTGTAGCTCAAGTGAAAGCGTTTCTGGCTGCGTGTCTGATTCCCCAGGACGCAGACCACATCTATAGGCAGCTGGAGAGGAGGGCCAGGACAGAGCCATCTGGAGATGTCATTGTGGGGGGAAAAGCAAGGAAAACGCTAACTCTTCGCAGCAGCAAGGAGGAAAAGGGTGATCTGAGAGAGAGAGAGAGAGAGAGAGAGAGAGAGAGAGAGAGAGAGAGAGAGAGAGAGAGAAGTAGACAACAGTTACTTAGACATTTTGTTCAGTTCTCAAGAAGCTGTAATTAGAAGGAAGTGGGGTGAACTTTTCACCTTTTATCTGCATTCTCTGAAGAGTTCTGTAGGATTTCAACATTCTTAAAACAAAATAAAATGCTAGCAATTACCGATTGGAGCATGCTTTCCTTAGGGATGTACTTGGCCTTTGCAAAATTAGCATAAATAGCACACAGCCTAGCCCTCTCCCTCTAAAAAAAAAAAATCCTCACC